TATATATATATATAGTAGTTTTCCTGATTCAAAGATTCAAAAGATTCAAACGGAGGTTCATCTAACTCGGAGAAATTTATCTAGCTGCTGTATAATTTATTTTGGTGATATACTATTCATTGGAAATCAGGTAAACAAAAATGTGTAGTACTTAGTTCATTGGAGTCGTATTTTATCGTATCGGAGTAGAATTTATATCGTATATAGTCATACGTATTTTATCGTATCGGAGTAGAATTTATATCGTATATAGTCATTATAGAGTGTATATATTAATGTATAGAGTGTATATATTAAAGAAGTTATTTGGTTCTTAAGAGTGTTAAATTAATTGGTTGCAATAGAAAATATGTGACTAACTGTGTGATAGTAAAGCTGCAATTTATTTGTCCAAGAATTCTATTGATAACATAATGACAAATCACATGGTCGTAAAATATCAGTTCATTAGAAACATGTTAGAAGCAAATTTGTTTAAGTACATAGTAACGACAACTTTCCTACAAAACCTTTGAGTAACGAAAAATTCCAGTATTTTATTGACAATGGTTATAATGGGACCGAGAGTGAGGATTTAAATTTTCAAGTTGTAAACATTAACTTTAGTCTTTTTCAGATAAGAAATTCTGCTCTCATCAGAAAGATACATCTGATGTGAAGAAATAAGCAGATAAGAGTTTCAACATCAGACCAACACCCGTGACGTCAAAGTGTCAAGAATAATAAAAAGACTAAATTATTTTTTTCTTCTTCAAATAAAGTGTACTGGATAGTAACTCTGTATTTCTGTTCGTTATTTGAGAAAATTGCTGACATCTCAGATGCATCAAGCAATTCACGCGATTGAAACTTGGTTTTTATAACTGTGATTATAGCCTTTAATTCAAATTTAAAAGTTAAATAAGTGTTACTTCAAGATCAGTTTGCCTTTATTTCCACGTTTAACTCTGCGATGCAGAATAAATCTCACAATTGTTTTTCTGTTACATCTTCGAAATTATTTTTTCACTAGAGTTTTAATTAAGAATATGTTAATATTAGTTTTTTTTTATTTTCAGGTTCGAAAAACTCCTCCAGTCCTATGGAAACTCCATCGTCGATCGTCAAAACAGACAGCTGGCCATGAATTTGACGTTTCTGTACTTTTGTCAACCAATCTCAATCCAACATTTGCGTATTATGTAATCTTCCGCAATGATATTATATTATACCTATTACATTCCGTTATTTGTATAAATTTTACACTCAATTTGCAGAAATAATAATTATAGAGACATGATCACGTCTTTAACTAGCATTCCGGGAGGGTTTATTATTTACTTGTTTTGTATTAACACTTCCACCAACTTTTCTTTTTTCCGTACTGTGTTATAAGATTACCTTGTTACTTTAAAAGAAGAAAAATATAGTGACAAAATTATTTTGCTTGAAGAAGCATTGTTGATTGTACTGTTTAATCAAAGCAAGCCAGAATTGAAATTTTTATATTTAAATTCAATCCATGAAAAGAATTTCACTGCTTAATTTTAAAATGAAATTTTTATTTCCTTTTTTAGTACGGTAAAAAATAAAACTTTTTTAATCCTGCGTTCATCGTTCCTTTTTGCAATTCAACCTGTTAACAAAAAGCTATGATAGGGCGATTCTGTTTTGCTCACTGTGGAATAATACACTATACTGTTGAAGTCTTCTTGTATCGTGCTATATTATTGCTATTTCTTATACAACTAGGGCTCCTCCTAAAAGATGCCCAGCATTCAAATGAAAATTTACCAATTCAAATTTCACCATACATTTCTCCGTTGCTATTTCATCCTTAACGAATATAATTATCCTCTTGCCATTAGAAAAACCTGTTTTTGAATCACTAATCATATGGATCTCCTACATCTAAATGGAAACAAACTAATTTCAACAGAAATTAAGAGATAAGACGTCAATTAGCTCATCTTCAAAAACCCATTCTTTCATGAAAAAAGAAAACTCAAAACGTGTAACAGTTTATAAGTAAGCACAATTTGGTTAGTAATATAGGTGAATGTTGCGGGAAGTTGAAAAAAATTATCTATTTAATTACATACTGCAGAAACTTATCTAAATTTCACTGTGAAAAATTATATTTTTTTTATTAACTTTATTGAAAAAAAAGTTGCTACCTTTTTTAATCATTCAGAAAATTTTCTTTGAGCAAGCCTCTCATTGTCATAACTAGCAAACTATTCAATGAAAAAATAATAGATTTTTCAAATTTCTGGAAAAATGAATCTGATATTAAAACATAAATATTTTGATATTAAAACGTTTTTGATGCCTGTAGTTTTACGTCTAAGTCAAAGATTATTTTTATTTTTCTTGCTCCTCGTAATTCAGTGGAAAAGAGAATTATGATTTCATTTTTGCAATCACGCACTCTTATGTCTGTAAATGGGTAACTCACTACACTTTTTCATATTTCGATTTAGTTTTTAGGTTATTAGAACAGTCTGACATGCAGCAATGAACATAATTACTTTTCTCAGTTAACAACGCCATCTATTGACAAAATTTGAAGCTAGTTTTTAAATTTTGTGAGAGAATAGAACTAGGTTCCCAAGCAAAATGCAGCAAATCTCCCATTTAACTTAGTTTTGAAAATCATTATTTATTTTTGGGACACTCACTGATAACTTGAAAAGTAGCTAATAACTGAAAAACTCAAGAAAAATTTAATGGTTTCTTGTTAACTCTATGACTATTTTAAGTCTAACGTTCAAAGATAAAACGTCCAAGCTACAGAAAATTACATAGTGATAGATTGCGTCAGAGTGATATAACACTACTTTCTATGACTATACACGATTTTCTTACAAAAGTTTATCCATGCGTGGCATTCTAACAAAACTTATCACTAAACTTAAGCATAATTTGGTTTAAAAGTAAGCTTTATAATCATAGTGACATAAATATTCTTAATAAATTTAACAATTATAACTAACCGATCTCCGTCAATTCGTAATTGACTTAAATGTAAAACACTAACTAATCTTTAATTGGTTTACTTTAAATTTTGTGGGACGAAAAAAAATATTTTTAATTTTTTGAGATGAAATTTTTCTCAAATTAAAGAACTTTTTTTTTAAATATATTGAACACGTTGAATTAAAGGGTTGATTTACACAAAGAAAATCGAAATTATCTTTTCAATTTAATCCTTATCGATCCTGATTCTTTGTAAAGAGAATCCTTATTAATTCACACACTTTCACGTTATGAGTTAATGATCCTTGATAATTTACGCAAAATATATTTCGCATTAAGAATCCTTATCAATTCTTTCAAATAATTTTTTATGTAAAGAATCTTTAACATCCTCAGAATGATTCTTCGAGTAGGGGAATCTCATTAACCCTTAACTTATAAGCCCTAGATAACTCGGTTTTTATCTACCTTTTACATAAAAATTTTTAAGTTAAGGGTTTAATTCATTCAAATGATGCTTTACGTAAAGAAGATAAAAATTTTCTTATCAATTTAATCCATATCGGTTCAATTTAATCCGTATCGTTTATTTTCAAAGATAATCCTTCCTAATCCACACAAATAATGCTTTGCGTAAAGGATCCTTGATAATACAGGCAAAATATGTTTTGCATAAGGAATTGTTATCAATTCACGCAAATGATCCAATGCGTAAAAAAAGGTTATCTATTCCTATAAATGATCGCTTAAGAAAATCAGCAAGGATAAAATAATATAAAAAGCTAAAGCTGAACAATTTTATTTTTCATGGTGACTTTAATAAGATTATAATATATTAGGGGGACCGGAAAGTAATGTCGTTTCCGTTCATTTGATATTTGTTAACAAGATTTTATTTTTAATTGATAATGTATACGCCTTCGTTAGCAACAATCTTTCAATGCGGGATCTAAAATGAACAGGAACTTAGGACTAACGAATATTTAATACACCGAAACGACATTACTTTCCGGTACCCCTAATATATTTTGGATGTTCTGACAAGATCCTGAGTTTAAACACAATTTTCATTGCTTTTTTTGGTTCAGAAAGTTTTTATACTACCCCAAATCATACTTAAAAATCTTTTAAAGTTATTTAAATTACCATGCTTTAGTATATAAGAAAATAATTATTGGCACAAATATTGTATAATATGATTTTTTTAACTTATCAATTGTTTGTAGCAATGTTAACCTAAGAGATAAAAATAAATAATATTACCAACATCTAATATATATAATTCACCCAAATTTTGGCTGTATTTCTTTTCCGCCAGTGGCAACATTTGCTTTAATTTGTTTACGTTACTATTTCTCTTACACTGCGAATCGACCAATGATTGCCGCTAAAAATGTCACATGCTAAATCTAGCTGAGGTGGCTCAACATATAGCGCTTTTAAAAATGGAAACTGAAATAACCAGACAGCATCAGCTGCGGTAATCTCATACTATTAAGCTAGGCAGAAGTGAGTAGTCTTTGTCGATAGATCTCTATTTTAGTATTTTGTCGAAAGCGCTTTTTTTCACGAATTTATGTATTACGAATTTATTTGACGATTTTTGATTTATATCACGAATTATACTATAGCACATTTCTAATAGGTTTAACGGATTATATGTCATTTATTTGAATTAAAATTTATTTTAATGATTTTGTATTTACTAAAAGATTTTTAAAAAAAAAATTATATGGCTTTGAATGATTGTTTTGAATTCTTAGAATTTTGTACCTAAGTTAGTAGCGAGCGAAGCGAGCTAGGTTAGCGAAGCAAACCATATAAGATTGCGTAGCAATTTTCCTGGGTTGGCGAGCGTTAGCGAGCAGGGGGCGCAGCCCTCTAGTTACCTGAATTACTCATAGTATAAACAAAAATCAAGTTAATGATTTTCAAATTGAGTGAGTTGTATCATTGATATTTCTTTCACGCTTTTCCAACATTTTTCTTAAAAGGATAGTTTACTGATTGTCAAACGCATTAATTATCCAACCATTGTTACACCAAAACGAAACCTTATTATCAGCTGCATTCCAAAGCAGACATTTATTTTGAAGTCTTTATTGAAGTACGTGGCAATGTTATCCCACCCATTTTAATTTCACGCTTTTCGGTTTAAAAAGTTTATTTTATTTGAAATGGCACTCTGGGGTTAAAGGAGCAAAAGTTAATGACGCATTCAAAAGAATTAATAAATAATATTATCTACTTGTTTCATTTCAGTTTTAAAGGTTAGGAGAAAGTATTGACCTTTAATATTCTAACGACATTACTCTTTAAGCTGACAGTATTATCTAAAATATATATTGAAAAATAACTAATATTTATTGCCATAGGTGTCTTTTTTTTTCCTTCTTTCATTGTTTTCTTTCAAACTTTGTTAGAAAGTTCAGAGGTGTGCAGATTAGAGAAGATAGTAACTATACAGTCGGACCTCTATTTAACGAAGTCGCTAAATCCCAATAATAAATTCGTTATATGGAAATTTCGTTAAATAGAAAAATCACCTTTTGAAATACTTAAACGACACAAAACAGGTTTTAAATTCATAAACACCAGACATAATTAAAATAGCAATTGATACACCTTTATCTTTCAAAGTAGTATTTGCTATTTATTCTATAAATCTTAACAATAAAAGAAATCTGCATGGAAAGCAAGTATGGAGAAAAACATTATCCAGTATTACACTATCATGTTGCATACAATTTCAACTAAAGAAAGCTAAATTTATGCACAAAATTATATCTGCATTTATTATAATAGCAATTTTAAACATGCATTGCAATATGCGTTCTTAAGTTTAATTGCTACTGATAAAATCCGTTAATATTGTCTGAGTTTTTCGTTTGAAATGCAAACGAAAAGGGAAAGGGATTTTACTGCTTTCTCTGTAAAATTGACGTGGCTTCGAAAATCAATTCAAGGGCATTTCCGCTATAAAATGCGTTAACAAGTTTGAAATGTTCTGAAATATTTTGGGAAATAGAGAAATTGGATCTCAAAGAAAAGTTCGTTAAATAAGAAACTCATTTCGCTATTTGGAAGTTATTTTACGAAGAAATTTCCAAAATCTTCTTCATTCCTCGAAAAAATTCGTAAAATAGAGAAATTCGTAAAAAGGGAAGTTCGTAAAATAGAAGTCCGACTGTATTTCTATTGAAAATTTCTGTTTAATATTTCTTTTTCTGTTGAATATAGTGTGGGGGGGGGAATGACTTGAATTAAACTAATATGAGCCATCGAATAATGAAATAAAACTAAATTGCCAAAATAAAGTATTTATTAAAAACTTTAAAATAGAAGCAGACCTATCACATGCTGGAACTTTCAAAATAGCTGGGAAAAGGAGCTATGTGCCCTGAAGCTCGCATAAAAGCTAAAGTAAACACGCTATACGAAATCGCTAATCCAGCTGACAAGCAGACAAAATATTCCAGTTAGCAAGAGTTTCAGAGCGCATGCGTTACAAATCAACAAATAACAAATAAGAAAAGATTTCTTCGAATAAATTATTGTCAAATTATTCATCTACGGCTGAACATATAGAAATATATAAAATTATTTTTAGATATATTTGTTTATTATAG